TTCTGAAACGGGCGCGCCGGGCACTTGTGCGCGCAGAGTCGGGCGCGTTGCAAAGTCCCCACGCCGCGCGCTCGTGTGTGTGTGTGTGTGTGTGAACGTGTGTGAGAATGTGTGAGTAAGTGAGAATTCCAAAGAGAGACGAAATCAGGGGCATAGGGATACCATCATCATGGTCTGCTGCTGTTCGGGGAATGCAAAAAGGGGGGCAAAAAAGGGGAAAAGTACAAGTAAGTATATAGCTGTCGAAAAGAGTGAAGTAGTAAAGGACGGTGAGAAAAAATAAAAAACGGACTTTCCTCTTTGCTTGTTACTTCACTCGGGCGACTCCCCCCCCCCCCCCCCACCCCACCATCGGCGCACCATCGGGGCGCGAATTGAAAGCACTTTCTTGAATTATTGCACTCAACGGAGTCACGGACACATTGGGGTGGTAATGACGGCGAGCACACCGTGCCAGTACCCCCCCCCCCCTCACACCACAACCACCACGCCCCACTGCACCCGCGGGCGGGGTGTCGCATGTCACCCTCTTTTACACGCCAGCCTGCCTTATTATCTGGCTCGCCTTGTCACTTTCCAAATCATCGTCATTTTCGAATCACGTAATTCAATATTATGAAAATTGCCATTATTATTATTTTTCAATAATTCCCAAGGCGAGCAGTCGGCGGGGCAAAAGTGACAAGCACTCGCAATGCGGCAATCACACAATCACCACCGTCATTACCCGCTCTGCGAAGTAAATGCACTTTATACCGCATGTCGGAGCTGCCCCGAGCATAATGTATACGCATTTCCTTGTACTTCCTCCAGTAAAATTCCACCATTAAATTCTAGTTATTTTCAAATGTAATTTGAGTATTAAAGTTGCCAAAAATAACCGCTAAAAATCATAATTTAGCACGCGTTTTTTTACTTAAGCGGTCGAACACGGAAAGGTTTCATTTTAAATTTCGCGCGCCATTCGGCTGTATGGGGCATGGATAACGCATCTCCTAGTTTACTGGAGGTGGAGGTGCTCCTGCCGCTGCCATAACGCAGCGTAAAGTACGTATGCGCTGCGTAATAACGTAATAGTGAGATTGCGGCGCTGTCCGATCCTAATAGCCGCGTGTGCACATGGGATGCACGCCCTGCCTGCACTTGCGCTCTGGCGGCAAATAGAGCAGAACCTATCCTCGCATGTTCAACGACCAAAGCGAACGGCAGGTACTTCCTGCCGGCAATCGTTCACAAAACTACGGCCTTTGTATTAGGAGGAGCAACGAGGAAGATTGTCGATGCGATATACACGTTCCGATTCTCTCTACGCGATTCTAGCGACTACTAGGGAAAAGGAACTTCCTGAAAAGTTGGAAAATGCCTTTATAATACCTCCGAGGTTATTGCCCAATTTTGCTCAATGTACACGAGGACGTATCTCACCTGATAAATAATTGTGAAGTTTTCTCATTTTATGAGGCATTTTCCAAAGCTCCTGAGAAGTTTAAGAAAACTTTCCTCTTGTAACCATAATCGCCTCAGGCAATCAGGCGTCGTTTTTACTCTAACAGTGTGGGCAACGAATTTTGTTATCTGTCATCAGAGTTACGATATCGTAACCTAAACGTCAACACCACTGTAATTTTTTTCAGCGAGCACATGCTTAGCTTTGCTTTGCCAGTTTTGAGAACAAGGTACGTCGCACTTTTCTCCCGGCCCAGGCATTTAGCAGCTACCTGTCCGCTTGCCTGCCGCCGCGACACTTTCCTTCCGACCTTGACAACCATAACCATCGACAACCGGGCGCCGGCCAGCACCGCGGCCGCGAGGCGCGACCGCCGACCGGCATGGAAAATATCGCTGCGATTATTTTCCGTTAGCGGTAGAGAGAAAGAGAGAGAAGAGGGGCAAGAGGAGGAGGTGGGACAGAAGAGATCCAGTCCAGAGTCCCCCAAAAGCTCGGGCTGCGCGGGTCAGCAGCCTTCGCCTTCCCCCCGTGGCACATGGTGTGAGTGACTCACCTGTTCGGCGGCTCCGGACCTCGGCTATCCTCGCCTCCCGCCGTCATCGGCCGGGGAGCAGCCGGCGTCCTAAGTCCTGCGGCGGCCGATGGCGTCGTCGGGCGGGGTTGAAAATCCACACAGAGCGTCGCGACGCAGCACTGTCACCTCACACACACACTCACACGCACAGACACTTGACGCAGACACTTGTATAGTCCTTGTTGCGGTATAATCCAGGGGCGACCGCGCGGCCCGGCGCCACGGACGAGCAATATGTGCAATATCAATCCGCTGGCGGACGGGGCGGCACGTCTATCGCGCGGGTCACTCGGCCACAGACACACTACTACTACTCCTCCTTCGGGCTGGCGCTCGCGCGGGCCACGGGGCGCCGCCGCAGACTCGCGTTCGCTCACGGTGCGGTACACGGTGTATGGGTGCGCGCGTGGTGCGCGGGCTCGGCTCCGGAGACCGACTGAACGGGCTGCTTGTTGGGTCGGGAGGGGGAGCGCGCGGGCCCGCGGGCGTGCGGTGCGGCGCGCGCGGCGGAGTGGGGG